GCCGCCGCTCTTGTCACGGGCGATGTTGTCGTTGCAGCCGGAGATGCCGGCCAGGACCTGGGCCCCGCCGAGCTCCTCCGGGGTAGACACCCGCATCGCGCTGCTGCCCGCCAGCCTGCCGAGGGGGCACCGGCCTGCACCCGGCCTCCGCCCGGCCCCTCGCCTCTGCCCGCGCCCCGTAAGTTCCCGCCCGAGCGGGTGGTCACAGACTCGCTGTCGGCCCGGCTTTCTGTTCGTTCGTTTTTCTCCTCCAGTGGTGATTTTTCCCAGCAGGTTTTCACGGCTGTGTCACCTTCCGGCTGGCATAGCTTTGCAGTGGGTTGTTGGTTTTTTTAGCTTATCTAAGGGCAAATGTCAAATTTATATCGCTTCTACTATGTTTTATATCTATGAAGCCAGGTATTTTGTAAGAGAAGGTTGGTTTTGTTACAGTCTGTTCCTGAACAACCCACCTTAGCGACTTCTTGTAATCTGCTTCCCAGCTAACTATTTAGAAATTGATTACTCAACGACTTGATGTAAAATCTGTCCGGAGGCTGAAGTCCAGCTAACAAGTCATTGCTTTCCTCAGTCCCCTTCCTTCCAGCTTTTAGAGGTATGTGCTAGTCTGCCTCTCTTGTCCTCTCTGACTTCTCAAGATGTCACTTCTATCAGCATTTTAAGCATCAAGGGTGAATTTCATAAGTGTCTGCTGACTTGAAAATCTTTATCTTATCTTTAACTTTATCCTTTACTCTTAATTTACCTTTTTCCACTTTGACCTAACCTCTCATCTCCCTGTGAAAGGAATTTCATTAAATATCTATTCACAATTAACCTTTCTGCTGAGGGCTGAAATAAAAAAGACATTTAACACTTTGTCCTATTTTGTGTCACCTGTAATTTGTTCCTTTTCCTCTTAAGTTATAAACCTTGCCTTCTGTCTTTTATTGTATTTATGGAACCTTTACTTGTTGCCCTTTTTATCCTTCACTAGTTGTAAATAATTTCTGTACCGTTGCTGTTCTGATTTTATCACTATATGATAGCACCCTCTCTTTATACTGTTCCTTAGCCATGCACACACCCCCTTTTTTTTTCGTTTTTGTATGATTTTTCAGGTTATTAAAGCTCTCCTGATGCAGTTAAAAGTCTTACTCTATTTCCTCTGAAGTGCTGTTGTGCATTTAATATAGTCCCTTTCAGTAACTGCCAGCTGATGTCTTCCCATCTGCCCAAGAGTCATGTCTGCCTATTCCCTGAGGTTTTTTTATGAAGCCTATTAGTTTTATTCTGTTCTTCACACTCTACCTTCCTTAGGAGAGGCAGTGAGAAGCTTTGGCCAGTGGGCCAAAGTCTGCTCACCAGAGCAATTAATCATGTCCAAATCCTTGATGCCCAGTCTCCTGAGGATCCTTCAGACAAAAACTGAAAGTAGGCTGCACTGTGGTTAAATGGTACTGGAAGTCCATTTCCTCATGGCAGTTCCCTTTCTATCCCAAAGTTTTGCAGCACCTTCATGTCACATGGCATGAACTGAAAAGGGCCTCTGTAATCACATGCTGAATGCATGTGTGTTCTCTCATATCCAGTTGATGTATATCTCTTATCTGATCAAAGTAGAGCTATTCTCATTATGTTCCTGGATGACAGCCCATCATGGTACAGGATATACTGGTATTTTGGTCATGCGTTAAATACATTTCAGGCCATATGGTAAGAAAGAAGTCAGTGTTTTTCCAGTGCATGGATAAAAATATATGCAGTCTGCCAGAAATATTCAGTTAGAATCTTTTCTTAGAATACTGATTGTGTGGTCACTATCACATATTGCTTTCTGTCCTTAGAGCCTCAGTTCAGTTTCAGTGAGTTCTTTCCTTCTAGTCAACGCTGAAATAAAAAGTGCCCATTCTTGTAGTAGCTTCCTTCAATTTCTGAAACACAAAGCTACTTCTAATTGTGGGAGGTTGATCACCACACATGCTGTACTCCTAGCCAGTGGATGGTTAAAATCCCCCACTGGTGGTTAGTTACCATCATATCAGCTCTTGGATGGTGGCTCAGGAAGAGGTTCATTCAGCTCCTCCTTTCTGTGTGGTCTGTTGATTGCTCCCAAGACAGCAACCTCATGGTTTCTCTTTGCTCCTTAGCCTGCCTTTCCTCATTGCTTCCTTCATTTTCAGAACTCATTCCTGTTATACAGTGTAGAACCACTTATGTCCTAACTGTGGTTTCATATGACGACTTCCCTCCTGAGGGTTGTTTCGTTGGGTTTTTATGTCTGTTTGTCTTTGTTACAGCTTTACAGCAGTTCTGTGACCTCTTCTCTCCAAAGCTATATCAGTATTTCTTTTAATTTTCTGTGACCCTTAGCCTCTGTTCTTCTTCAAATCCTCCCTTACTGCACTGAATTTGAGTCCTAAAACTCTCTTCACTTTTATTATTCCATGAAATCTATCACTTCCTGCTTTTCGTGGAATGCTGTCCCATGTGTTTGTCTCCAAGATTTAGCTTCTCTTCCTGGTGAGAAAAAAACTGTTAGGCATATTTGTGACCCATGGCCTTGAATCCTTTACCCTTGCACCCACAGTTAATCCTTATACATCCATGGCCACACCTAGCAGTCTGACCCAGCAGTGTCATTAGTGATCTCATTAATAGGCCTTGACAAGTTTCCGTTGTCATCTTTGCCATTGGATTCATGTGTGCCACCCCTAACAGATGAGTATGTCAGATGGGTGTCTGCGTCATGGTGGTAGCGATGACATTGGCAGCTTTGAGACTTTTGCATCCCTTCCATCCTAGCCAATATAGGATACCACGATAATAACCTCCATAACCTTTAACAGAGTTCAGCTTCCATTAATTCACTGTCCTTATGCCAGCCACAAGTCATCTCTCTCTGTCTTCTCATATTTTCCATAATTACCCAGTTTTCATTACATGTTTCTTCTCATTATTCCATTGAAGATTAGTTTCAGGAGTTCAAGGTTATCTTGTGGTCCAATATTCCAGGGCAGTGGAAGATAGGTAATAGAAGATGGAAGAAAAAAATTACTTCTGTAACTATATTACTGAAATGCTTGAGGTATTTTATGTTTCTCCTTTTTTTAGTGACACATTGCAAGACAAAATTGATTAGCACATAGTTTATTAATGAAAAAATATAACATGAAACTTAGAACCACATTATGTTGCTCCCAGAGATGTTTATGGATTCTGATGTCTTGTAAAATTGTATGATGCTGCATTTTCCCTTCTGTTGCTTTCTCCTTTTTTTTTTTTTTCCCCAGAAGAAATCACCATAGATTTGGTGTCTTGAAAGTATGGAATCAATCACTATGATGGGAAGTCTTACGACCCTCAATGAAACTTTTCTACCGAATGTTGCCAATGGCATCAAGGATGCCAGTAAGATCACAATAGGCATCATTGGAAGTGGAGACTTCGCTAAGTCATTGACAATTAGGCTTATTAGATGTGGGTACCACGTGGTCGTAGGAAGCAGAAACCCTAAACTTGCTGCCGAGTTCTTTCCCCATGTGGTTGATGTCACTCACCATGAAGACGCAGTAGCAAAAACAAACATCATTTTTGTAGCCATTCACAGAGAACACTATGCCTCCTTGTGGGACCTCAAGCATTTACTCACTGGTAAAATTCTGATTGATGTCAGCAATAATACAAGGGTAGACCAATATCCGGACTCCAATGCAGAGTATTTGGCATCACTTTTCCCAGATTCCCTGGTTGTCAAAGGATTCAATGTTGTCTCAGCTTGGTCACTGCAGTTAGGACCAAAGGATGCCAGCAGACAGGTAAATGTTACATTTATATAAATATAGCTTGTTTGTAAGGTGAAAATGACAGGAATTGAATTTAAGCAGCCAGAACTCATGGGATTCATCCTGCCCAACTTAACATACCTAAAACATTGGGCCTTTAGTTTTAAGTTTTAGTAGCCAATAAAACTTTCAAAGTGTAGTTCATCCACTGTAAGACATACAGAGTAAGGTCCAAATTGTCGCCCGGGATGCCTGTTTATCTGTAACAATTGCAGAGGAAATGTGGATACTAGCTTAGACTAGGCAGATGACCTTTAGATGGCTACAGACAGAGGAGAAGAGTCAGGCCTTAATGTCTTCTGTAGGAAATATGTTAATTTTTATGCTTATGCTCTGTACTAGCATAGAGGCAGTCTCTCCCAGTATATTTTAGCTTCAGTATTGATTTCTATGGGATGAACTATTGAGAGAGATGAGAAATCTGAGATCCTGATCCATTTTAAATTGAATGCAATTGATACAGAATTAGCATAATTTTTAAAATAACCACACTGTACTATTTTTATCCCCTTTCAGAATGGCACTGCACTGTAAGTAATTAACTTCTGTCAAAACCGATCATGTTTGCTCTGATACAGATGATCAGCAAACAGCATTGGGCAGACTATAGCCCACTGTAAATCTGAAAGGAACTTTAGAGTACTTTATAGTAGTGCATTTCTTTCACTATGTAATAAGCTGGTCTTTAGGAGGAGTTCTTATTTGGCTGCTAGTTTTTTGTCTTTTCTGCTAAACATTAAATTTTTGTGGGAATCTGGATTGTGAAATTGTTATGTGTGGAAAGATTACACAGTTCTGTGCTTTGCATTTTGCTTATGCTACAGCTGTTTTAGGGTCATCCTTCGAGATTCCTGTATTTTTGAGATTTTCTGAAATGCTTTTAGCCATGGTTTCAAGTTCAATCCAGTCCTGTAGACATTTCAGTGTGGGGGGTTTCAGTGTGCAGATTACCAGGGGATCCCACAGTCAGCTCATTATTAACTTCAAGAAAGAGCCAATTTTGGTTTGGTTACTCTGTTGCTAAATCAGTGTGCATGTTTTCGCTTTGTCTGGGTTTGTATGTGCTTTCATTCTCATCTTGGTGATGATATAAGCTGGGATAACAGCGTACAGTTTTAGCAGCAGCGCTGTGGTTTTGTCCTTTGGAGGCCTTTAAGGTTTTTTTGTTTGCATTTTGTTTTTTTTTTACCATTGAGTCTCTTTCTTTGACTACAGACAATTCACTTGACTTTCCCAACAGGTCTATATATGCAGTAACAATGTTCAGGCTCGCCATCAAATTATTGAGCTTGCCCGTCAGCTCAGTTTTATTCCTATTGATTTGGGGGCATTGTCATCTTCAAGAGAGATTGAAAACTTACCTCTGCGACTGTTCACACTGTGGAAGGGGCCTGTAGTGATTGCCATTAGCCTGGCAACGTTTTTCTTCATCTATTCCTTCGTCAGAGATGTAATTCATCCGTACGTGAGAAATCAGCAGAGTGACTTTTACAAGATCCCCATTGAGATCGTGAACAAGACTCTACCAATTGTTGCTATCACTTTACTTTCTCTAGTATATTTATCAGGACTTATTGCAGCTGCTTATCAGCTTTACTATGGCACTAAATATAGGCGATTTCCTCCTTGGCTGGACAACTGGCTGCAGTGTCGAAAGCAGTTTGGACTGCTCAGTTTTTTCTTTGCAACAGTGCATGTGGCATACAGCCTCTGCTTACCCATGAGGAGATCAGAGCGGTACTTGTTCCTCAACATGGCATATCAACAGGTAAGCCAGTCGTTAGTTCAGTAAGTCAAAAATGCCTTGGCTGTATGCATATGGCTCATAAATACAATATATGTTTCCTTAATCTGTTCCACTGTTTTCAGCAGGGAATGTTATGGGTTCTCTTATGTATAGCTAGTGCCAAGTAAGAAGGGAGACTAAAAGAAACATCTGTGCATTGTGCTCACCTCGTGGGTCAAGCTGCAGTCAAGTTTGTGTGGTAGGGGGAATCAAAGATGTGTTCTACTTAAATCCCTGATAGTAATATACACACGGAGAATGTAGGATAGGCAGGATAACAGCAACAGCAGGAAACTAGTGAGTTTCTGAGGTATGTTCCTCTCTATCTATACTTAACATATGGGGGAAGTAAGTATATCATAAGTGCATTTTCAAGTGTGAAAAAAAGGGTAGATACTGTAGTAATGCTTACAGATACATCTGTGTTTACAAAATGACAGTGCTGTTACTTTGTAACCTTTTGGACCAGTGGTAAAAATATTTTATTAATTAAAAATTCTGTGAACATCATCTAGCACAGGCAACAGAAACTGACTCACAGTTCTGAGGAGCAATTGGTCTTGCATAACCCTGCAACAATCTCGGACAAATCTGTGGTCCTTTAGGAGGCGGTCTGATGCTCCTGTCTGTCAGTGAGGTAGCTTATTGTCGTCTTTAAAGTGGCAGAAAAGCTGCATTGCCAGAAAAGTAGCATTGCCATTCAGCACATAAAATCTGCAGAAAAGAGAGATGTGATGGAACAGAAGGAAAAGCAAACTAAGGAAATAAAATCAAATGGAACAAATTAACGGGTTTGGGTCAACAAATTCTAAAAGAGCTAGCATGAAAAATTGAACTTAAGAGAAGAGCAGGAAGAGCAAAACTATAAAAGGCAACAAGAAACTGTAATTGTTCACACTTACTATCAGTAAAGGACCCACTGATACTTTCACTGAGAAATTATCTTGTTTTTAATAATATTGTAAACATCTCACTAATATTCCTAGTGAACCTCTTTCAAGACATGGAATATCAAAATAGTTCACCTGCAAGTGGAAAAATAATTGAATATCCAAGCCTCTTAATTGTTAAGGACCTGAGTTGTTTCTCTTTTCTGGCAAAGCTCTCCAACGAGAACAATCTTGGATTCTTCTGACGTCAACAGAGAAAGAGGCAAAATAACTTGGACTCAACATAGGGAGCTGTAGCAAAAACTAGCTGAAGCTAAACTATTTCTAAATGTAAAAAACTAAAAACAAATTGCAAGTTTACCCAATTTATGTTATAGAACTTAAGTTTCCAGGGTCTGAAGAACACAGCTACATTTCTAAAGTATGTAGGAATGTGCACGTTGATCTGTTTTTATAATATAATTGTTATAAATAGTATATAATGTTACACTTTCTTTTAACAACTCATCTAAGTTTCCATGTTTAATGTATTTTTAATCTAACAAGAGCCAATACCAGCAGTAAGGAAATAGCTGTTTTTCTGCAAGACATGAGGAAACCTCTGAAATATTTGACCCCATTTTGTAGTTGTACTGTGATTGTAGACTTTTACTCAGCAAAATAACTCCTGTTGATGTTTTTAATATTATTTAGAATATTAAGTGCTTCCTTTATGCTCTTTCATCAGGTTCATGCAAATATTGAGGATTCTTGGAATGAGGAAGAAGTGTGGCGAATTGAAATGTATATCTCTTTTGGAATAATGAGTCTTGGATTGCTTGCTTTGCTGGCAGTAACTTCCATCCCTTCAGTAAACAGTGCCTTAAACTGGAGGGAGTTCAGTTTTATTCAGGTGTGTTGCTTTTTAAATAAGGGGGGTTTGTTGTTAATAAGAATTCCTTGATAATGACAATCATGATTCTGATGATCATGGTGGTGATGATGAAGAAAAGCACTTTGCAACACGATGAAAGCTTTTTTTTTTTTTCTCTCTCTCTGGCAAGTTAATAAAAACATCAGATAATATTACCATGAAGGCACATTAAGCATTTCCTGAGTGTTAGAATAAGAATTTGCATTTTGCACTTCTTGATCTTAAATAACCAACACAGCTAAGAGCAAATGAGCACTAACCTATTCCTTTTCCATTGTTAGAATTTCTTGCTAAATTGAAATCAGATTAATTTGGACAAGCTCACTAAAGGCAATGATACTGATGAGATACTGCTATATGTAGATATACACAACTGGTAAAATTGAAGACTTAATTTGTCCTGCAAGATTTTTATTGCACAGCCCTCTGACAGCCATGGTGTCATTGACTCAGTTTTGCTTCCCCTCCACTGTGTGGTAATTAATACAGCTCTCAACTGCGTTATTCCCCTTAACTGATAATACCCATAGTAAAATATGAAGCTTTGTTTTATTAAAAGCAAAGGCTTTTCCAGGTCCTGACATGCCTTGTGCACCCCTCCTTCCTCAGATGAATGTCTACAACAAGCAGACCTAACTAGCATAAAATACTGAGAAATACAGGCTTTAATAAACAGCTTAATGTTTGCTTCCAAACAAAATTACCATTGTTTTTAGGTAGCAGTCACTGATAAGAAATTTTATTAGGATTCAGTCTTTTGATAAATTTCCTAAATGTGTATACGCAGTTTGGGGTTTTCTTTTCTAGCTTTCTCTGATTTTGGGTTCAGTAGTCTAGTCTTAACTCAGTCTTTTCTGATTAACGTTATTTCAACATAACCACTGTAATACTATTGCCTAATTCTTAGTCCTGTCACTGTTTACAAATTCCTACCTTCAGAACACAGGCATTGACTTTACTGTGTAGGATTTGAGTAGCACTTCATCATTTACAGACTTTTTAAAGAGAGCGATGGGACACACTTCTTTGGCTCTAGTTGTCAGAGGTCTCTTGTCTAAAATACTGTCTTCTCTTCCCCTGTGGTTTCTGTTGGTGGAACACTCCAGGTAGGCCTACAAAAAGTTTGCTGAAAAATTTTTAAACTTAGAGTTCCTCTGACAGAACTGTTTATTCTCGTTCATGGTTTGGAGCTTTCAGAGGAAGTAAATACCTATTTTGTATTGTTACAGCTTCCCTGCCATCCAGAGTTCTCTGTGCGGGGACGATAGTACTGCTATTGGGTGATGTAAAATGTTAGTGCAAAAGGGATAAATATGTATTCACTGATGAGTGAGGTGATGCCTTCATCCAATAATGACTTCCAGCCACAAGCCCAGCATTTTTATCTTATTTTTTCTTATTCAAATTTCCAAATTTCAGGCTTGTGTGACTGAATCAAAACCCACACAATAATCACATAATTATGTGTTTACAAGGTGATTTTTTATTGTGTCATATTTACTGCAGTTATTTCCACTGTAAATAAAGTCAAAATAGTTCCAAATTTAAATAATTATGAAATTTAATTAATCATCTGTCAGTATTTTGAGGAATTTGATTGGGAACAAGTTGTTTTCTCTGAAGGTATGTTACAGTTGATACTGCGTTACATGCTGAAGAGAATGGTATTGGTAGCTAATTATGATCATTTGCAAATTTTAATCACAAAGAATATTGAACTCCTAAAACTTTCCTTAAAGTTAATGATCACTAAAGGTACTTTATGTTGTCATTCATTACTTCTCAGGATTTAAGTTGTTCTTCATTTAGTTACTTGTCCTTCAAAAAAGTCCTCTTGCTTTATTCAATCAGAAAATAGACTTTCAGTGATTCCTCACTAAAGGAGTCTGCATTTCTACACAAGCTTCATTGCATCCATATGCAAGTAGAACAGATAAAACATCATAATACTATCTTTTATATTTTTCTTCTACTGAAGTGCAAAGTGATGAAGTGAATTTAAACTTGATTTTCGCAGTCTTCTCTAAATCAGGAGGACAAACAGTGGAACTATTAGCCCATTGTCTCAGTGCTGCTTTCTTTTAACTGGAAAGAGCAGTATGTCTCTAGCTTTAGTCCCGAATCTCAGATAATTTGCCATAATAATTGCTGAGCTTGTTTTGCATCTGACAGATGAAGAATCAGACAGTCAGCATACTCAACCAGTTTCTCACCCCAGGACTTCCCACTGAGAACAACATACTATTGCTTGCTCATCTTAGTAACTACAGTTTCATCAAAATAGGAGTCTGGCCTCCTCTAAAGAGTTTTACCACTAAAACCTACTCAGTCTTGAGTCCTACTAGGAAACTATGAGTTTAGGAATAAGAAATTGTTAACATAGACAGTCTAGACTATTTTCTAGCCTTGTTCCAGTCCTGAGCAGCATCTCCCCTACCTACAGTGGTTCAAACAGACCTCTACCACGGTCTTCCTCATACTGTAAAGAAACCCCAGTTATGAATGTTTTTACCCAGAAATCATTGCTGTCTTTGATATCCCCAGTTATTTTGGAGATGCCTCCATCTTACCTAGCCAAGTTTCACAACACAGGTGTCAGCAGTGCCAAAAAGTCCAGCCTGCTTGATCAAGGGAAAAATCTTCTCTTTTGAGAGGAGAACAAGTGCAGGCTCCACTCATTCCCTCAGACTATGGATATGAAGTGAGATATGAGAAGGCTGAATAGTGATGCAAAAGGAAGTTACTGTCAGCCCTACCAGGAGCTGAGACCAGCAGAAAACTTGAGTTGCTGCAGTAGAGAGCTGACCACTGTACAAAACAAACATCTGATTACTCTGTCATGATTCAGAAAGAAACACTCATAACATCAAGATGGAGGATCCACAGAACGAGACAGTTACTGAGGAAAGAAGCAGGGAAGAAGCTGCGTAGTAGGAAGCTGATCCTTGTATCAACATTCCTATTGTCTGCTGGCACAATCCTGAAGTTTTTTGGAGACAGGATTACTAAAGCTTTTCTTGTGCACACACTTACAGGAAGGGCTGCCTTGCCTTGGTTTTCCCACAAGAATAGGATACTTTTCTCCCGAGATTAAAGAATGAGGCCTGAGTATTTAGCAAGTTTATGGGTAAGATTCCAGTCAGAATTGCTACAGCCTGTTTATAAGTTTAGCAATATCCTGTTACTGGGGGAATCTGAAGTATACCTTGCATAAACATAGGCTTTGGAAAATACCTTTTGTATATATAAATTGCTTGGAACTACTCAGTCGTTGTGAAGGTAAAAATTCCTGAAGCAGATATGTCCCACAGCAACTTGTGTCTCTATATATGTACATCTTCCTGGTAACATTTTAGGGATTTTTCTCCTGCACCTTTTCCACTCCTCTAACACATTTTTTTCCCACCCCAAATGATGACAGTTTGTCCATTTTATCAGTGGCCTTGGCTGGGAATCTCCCACATTGGCTGAAACACTGACTGATCATGAAGGAAAAGAAAGAAAACAAGGAGGACTTAGAGAAAAGCTAAAAGATCAGGGAGTCCATAGCAAATGTGCTAATCTATTACTCAGCTTCCAGGAAACACAGTATTATGGAAGATAAGGAAGCAAAGCAATCAAAGATGCTAAAGCATTAAGAACTTTTTTTGAAAAATCTGGGAAGAGTCTGTATAACATTTCCCTCCTGTTTCTTTTTCAAGAATTGTTACAGTTCTCATCAGTAAGCCTGATGAAGAAATGAGGGATATGATTCACTTACTCCCTTTTCCCTGCTGGCAGTGATATAACAGCAATGAATTCAGGAAAGTCATCCAAGCACAAATCTGCAATAATATATTCAAACATCGGATTTGATAGTATTGTTTGCTGCCCAAATTTCTTACCAGAACTTCCATTCAGACACTGCATATGCCATTTTAATATCCACGAGTGATTATCTGATTGTTCTGTTTCTTATTCAATATTTTGGGAGCAAATTGTTCTTTTTAAAAAAAGGGTGCAGCTAAAACGTACCAAGATGTCTCTGAAACCATTGACAAAAAAATGCCTAAATATTGGCAAGTTAAAAAACATGGTATCAATCTCTAGAAATTAACAAAAGTATTTTCCTTTTTATACCATTATATCTGTGAATCCTTGCAAATGGTATTATCTCAGACATTCTCCTTTCCCTAGAAACTGGTTAATCGGGAGCAGAAAGAATTCTTTCAGTAACTATTATAAACCCTTAGGCTGCATTTTTCTTTGCCTCTCTGTTTACTGGAATTTAACCAAAACTTGGTAGGCAGTTGCTTTTCTTAATATTCATTCTTTGTTTCAGTTATTTTCTGCAGATGTTTCCCAACCAAGTTAGTTAGTTAGTTTTGGCCAAAAAGAGTTTTTCTTCATTTGATCACCACTGGAATTCAAAGTATAGTAGTCTTTTTTTACCATGGCTTGGGAAAGTCAAGGTTAATACATTTAACTCAAGTCTGTAGAGCAGTACAACTACCGGGTTCTTAAAAGGACAGATTCACAGAAATGGTGAATGACCCCTGCTAGCACTACCTTCTGTGGCGTGCTCTAGATTACGTGGTAAGAGGTCCTCTGCAGGGTGCTATGGGAACCTTCTTATTTCATCCGGCATTACTTGTTTATGAGAAACTGCATCGTTGCCTTGTGCCATTATGCCCAAGTCCTGCAGTCCAGATATTCCCATTAGCAGGCAGCAGCTGATGGAGAAAGGTAAGGGATGGTTTATGCTAACTTCAGACAAGTGGATGTAGGCTGTTGGGAGGAAGAGGCAAACTGCACCTCTCAAACTGATAAAAATCTGGAGTGTTAGGCCCAGGTCTCCTCCAGCAGCATTGCATTGTTCTATAATCATGAATCTACCCTCATAGTGAGGTGGTGATCTACCCTCATAGTTCAGAAATAAGGAACTTAATTTCCCATCACAACTGATGTTCCAGTAACTTCACTGGGATTGTTCCTTATTCACGTACATATCCTGAAGTTAACTTCCATTACTTAGAATTTGGGCAAACATAATCTTAATTTCAGTTTTGACTAAGGCCTGTAGATGCTAGCAGAGATATGTTGTAAATCACTGTTCAATTCAGTCCATAGTTTTCAGACCATGTGAACTTAAAAACACATATTGCTAATTTTAAATAGTGTATCGGTAAGAGATTTTAACATAATGTCTAATAGAAATGTTAAAATAATGGGTTAGAGCTATCTGATGAAGGACCAAGTAGTATTATCTCTTCTTTTTCCCCTGTTTTCTCTTTTTTCAAAGTCTACACTTGGATACATTGCTCTGCTCATAAGTACTTTCCATGTACTGATTTACGGATGGAAAAGAGCTTTTGAAGAACAGTATTACAGATTTTATACACCACCAAATTTTGTTCTTGCCCTTGTTCTGCCTTCCATTGTGATTCTAGGTAAGATCATTCTACTTTTGCCATGTGTAAGTAGGAAACTGAGGAGAATTCGAAGAGGATGGGAGAAAAGCCATGTTATAGAAGAAGCAAGTGGGTCTGTTCCGCATCTCTCCCCAGAAAGGATAACTGTGATGTGATGATAGACAAATATTTGTTAGCACTGATGTAGATGTTTGGGTGGGGTTTTTTGTCATAAATTTGTATTTTTTGGAGTTTAGTTAAAGTATGAGTTAAGCCACTGTGGACTTGCTTGGCATATAGTACAAGCTCTCAACCAAACTATGAGAAATTTATAACTAGAAGACTACTACTTCAGATAACTACAAAAATATTTTTGTTTTGAATTACATAGGGCAGATTATTATGAAATCAGAATTTTTTAATGCTCCTTTGCACAGTTTTATCACAACAGTATTTTATTATAGCCATGCTTTCCAGATTTTTCTTTGACATCGGCATATGTGTCAGAGTGCTATTTATTAATACAACATTTTCTGGGCAGTGTTTCTTTTATTAAAACCACACTTATGTGTTGGTGAGTTCAGAATATAGATTAATAGAGTTAATAATTTGGGAAATAATCAGGTTTTGAAACAACTAAAACTAATTTGTAATGATGTATTGCACGTGTACAGTATATTTATTTGTGTGTGGTTCTACACCATTCCATGATTTGAATATGCAAAACCAGTTTCAATTACGGTGTTACTGTACATCTTGCAAGCAAATGGTATTGTACTAGCAGGGTCGTTTTTTTCAAAGTATCACATAGGATTTTAGACCTTTGGCATCTCTTTATTTCCATACATCATATTACGTAAATTCAAAACAGTGTTATACATGTATAGAAAGACTTGCAGATATGTGTGCAAGCAACTAGTTTTTGATTTTAGAATGATTTTAAAATATCAGGAAATATTTTAAAACAAACAAACAAAAAAAGCTGAGAAATCTGCAACAATAAAAATCCATTTTCACTGTGAAGCTTCCAATATGTTGGTACAACAGGGAAGCATCACAATAGTCATGTTCTATATGTTTTTACACTGGAGTTTCAGTTACTATATATGAATTTCCCAGAGTCTGTTTTAGATTCTTAGTATCTTTCTGTGCAAATGCAATCTTCTATTTTTATATAAAGGTCTTATTTTACAACAAGTGTCTCTGGGATATGCCTGAATTTTTGAGGAACAAAATTATTATTCTTATACTTAAAAATAAATTTATCTCTAGAACTCGCCACTTACATTTCTTTTGATACTCAAACAAACGTTCACAATTATTTATTACTACTGCTTTGTCAGGTTCTACTCTTCTCTAAGAAAACAGCCAAACTCAGCTCATACCTTCAGGCTCCTCCTGCTTAATTGGCAAAACTTTTATTTCAGTGAATCAGAATGTGTATTTGGTCCTAATTTTCTTTACTCATATGAAATTATATTTTTCTTATCTATATTTGCACTGTTTAGGACCTTCTTAGCTGAACCTTCATTTATTATTTATTACTTGCAAGAATTTGTCATCAATTTGATACATCAGAAATATACAGTACTTAAGCTTGAATTTATCCATAAACATCACTAGTCCTGTGAATCTCATTATCTCTGTTTGTAACGAAACTAACAGCTCCACAGAACAAGAAGAATCTAGAATCAAACTCTGCCCTCAGTTATACCAGCCTAAATCTAAAGAGTTCATGTTAGTTGTTCTCAATTTAGTTTCAAAATAAAAAAATCTACAACAATTTTATCTTCATTGCAGTATCCATACTCCTCAAACTTACACATCACGTGTATATTCTGAGTTTGCTGCAAAACAAGAGGCAGTTGAATTTTAAGCATATTCAAATCTAGAGATGAAAAATAAAATAGTTGCATTATTTTTTTCCAGAATTGAAGCATTTTTATATATCTTTAAACATGTTTTGTATTGAATAAGAGGTCAGTGAATTTTTTTTGAAAATGGGGGTTTTTCAGTTCACCAATTTTCAATTCCAAATAGTTGGAAAACTCAGTTTTATCCTCCTGTTTAAGCTACGGTGAGAGGGAAGCAATTAGAAAGAGGAAGTTCATTTAATTTCACCATTTTTGGAAAAGTAAATTATAATAACAGCTAAAATTAGTCAGACTAAGGTCTTTGACACTTGTCTCCAATAGCTGACAAGTGGCAGATGCTTCCAAAAAGAGGGCATATGTCCAATGATTCTTCTCCTGACAATAACCTCTCAGCCTCTTGGAAATCAATAATTTAGGGCTTATTTGAGATAGGTGCTGCCTCTGGACTATTGTATTTAATAACCACTCCAAAAAATTACCTAACTTTTTTAGAAATTTGAAACTTTCGCAGTTTTTTACAGGAAAAAAAGGGAAAAGATGGAAGAGGAGGAAAAAAAAAGTTTAATAAATCTATAAAATTAATTAAAAAGTTTTCATTCTTTCTTTTTTCCAAAAGCAAGTCAATTAGTTCAGGTACTAATTTTATTGTCCCTCCTCCAGCATGCAGCTATTTCAGTGATACTTGTGATAAACAAGCACAATACTATTTTATCAAACATTCTAGATGTTAAGTGAAAAACCTGTCATTGTTGGAGATAGACAAGAGCCTAAACTACTACAAATGAGATTTTCACATAAAAATGAAGAACAAATGGCAATTACAACTTCTAATATACTTAGCCTGTCTGTAAATCCATTCCAATACAGAAAGCTGTACATTTCTTGACAGGCTTGCAGAATTTTATGTAACTGAGTTCCCTGGCCTGTTTCCTATCGTATTATTGCAGAGGAAAGCCACACAAAGCTTAGGCATTTGTGTTTCAATCCTTTAAATAAAATTAATTTTAAAAATCTTAGAATACACAAAGTCTTGGAGAATTTAATGGGATAAATACTATGCTACATTCTACCCAGTCCTGTGCACGAAACCTGATTAAAATCACTAGAATAGGATAGTGTAACTGAGAGCAGAATTTAATATCTCTTAAAAAATTTAGGGCAGAAACCATTACTGTTGACAATCTGATTACATTTCAAAATTAACTATGCTGCTATTATTTTATAGTAATTCTACACTTCTGTAGAATAGTAATGTAAAATGATTACTGTAAAATGTAACAGAAAAGTAAAATTACTCTACAGTTCTGTAGAATAGGTAATTAACATTCATGTTTCCTACAATTATCTAATTCGTGTGATGCAATAGTGATAATGTTGCAGAACTAAGATACTGTACTAATTGAAAATTGTCAAAGTCTCTATATATTGTACTGTAATGCAATCACTGACAGTATATACAGAAATGTATTGGCCCTCTTTCCTATGCAAAAAGTTATTTCATCATTAAATTTCTTCAAGAATGTTTAAACTGTTAAATTTTGAACTGCCAAAGGTGTCTGGAGAGAATAATGGTGTGTTGTTCCTTTTTTTCAAACTGTGTGTGTAGGAAATTAAAAATGTGTTTTGATTTTATAAGCTACTTGAAAGGTTGAAATATTGAAGAATTAATAAATAGAAGATATTTTTAGATCAAGTATATGAAGACATTTTGTGAAATATTTGTGCTACAAAATTGCGTATGGTTTCTCATTAGGCCTTGTATTTACTTCTAACTGGAATAATAAGTTGACTTGTGATTTAATATTTTGTAGTGTTCTTAAAGTACCAATTCACTCTAACAAGGCACTGTTAAGTCTGAAAGTAAAATGTATAATGCATTTACTACATATTACATATCATATCATGCATATGTCTAATCACATAAGGAATCTTTATTCATGTAATCAAACACATTGATTTCTATAGAAGTCACATTAGGACCTGAGGCTAAATGTTTAGTTTTGATTGCCTAAATATAAACAACTAAATTAATTTAGACATCATAGTTACTTAGGAGAATAAATACATATTTTGAGGAATAGTCTGCTATAAAATATTTTTGTGTAGCTTTATATAAATTGCTTACTGCTTTCATTAGTACTGCTTACTAACGAAAAATGAATAATGAAATAAATTTCATATCTCTTCATTACTATTCAGTAATAAAAAATAGTGCTTAATACAGGACAGTTAACATCATATTAGAAAAAGGAGATCTCTGTGTATGTAGCAACAGATTATTTGTTTTCTATGGATATTAAGGTATTCTTTCTTAACACTGTCTAAAATACAGTTGAATTACAGGTTCCATATGTGTCTTTATCTTAGAATTCTATTAACTGTGGCAACTATGTATGAGTTAATTAAGTACCCATGTTCTTTAATTATTTAGAGATGAATTATTTTGCAATTTTTTGCAAGTTTTTTACATATCTAGCTTGTGGTAATGGTTACTGTGAATTAGTGCCATGTTTAACTTTTTGTTCCAACATTGTGCATGATATGATGTACCAACATGAGAAAGTACATTTGTATTTGGCATTAATTGCCTATAAAATAGTGTATCTCTGTGTGTGTGTCTATGTTATTAGCTATACATGCTGCCCAGCTACCATTAAGGGAAATTATTAATAAATAAGGCAATGAGTTCCCAAGTGGCTATAAATTTCACAGGTATGAATATAGTTAGGAAACAGCTTTCCTCTGAATGTGAAGATTTCCTCTGAAAATTAGATATATCAGGTGCACAAAAATTAGACAGAGTGAGTTTTTCGGTATAATATTTTCATATATGCAGTGGTAATGGATGCATATGCATAGTTCCTTTTAGACAGTGCATTTCCTAATAGAAAAGTTTTTGATTTCTTGGCTGTTTATCCTGCATTTTCTGTCAGTATAATGAGTAATGTTGTAGTACTGATACCATATCATTATATGATACTGCTTAAATTAATTAGATTACAGCCTTTAAAATAAGTGTCATTGAACTGCCTTGAACAATGATCTCTATCATTATATATTGTTTCTCATGCCTTGCTGGCAGTATGTTGCAGTGAGCACAGTATGTCTCCCATGTGCAATATTCTCTTTGTAGTTGTGTTTGTCAATTTGTTTGTGTTGTCTCTCTGAACAGGGCTATTATAAATTATTAGTAATGCTTTTATATATTTTTCCATAGACTGTGTTTTACACAAAAATCAATAAAAAGTCAATGTCAGGTATTTGGCTTTTTCTTCTGTGCTTATGCATAATAAATTTTAGCTTCCTTTTCTTTGTATTACATGTGT